CTCGGCTACATATCCGGTGATCAGAAGAAGACAAGACTTGGATCAGTCTGGGAGTATGATCTTAGCCGAGCCTGGATAGGAATCGGCTTGTGTTGGTCAACTCAGAAGTGCTAGGCAACAGGGAAAGTCACTGCTTCCCAAAAAATACACAACTTCTCCACAACTTAATCCTATGATGCTTTGTCAATAATGTTATTTTAGGGTGTAGATATTTTGTTGGATTTTTGTGATTGCACATCCCATATAAGTTCTTTTGGTTGGCCCTTTGCAGGTGAAGTGGACGATGGAAGTTCTGTGTTACGGGCTGACGCTACCTCTTGATGGAGACACTGTAAAGCTGTGTGTGGATGTATACACTGACTGGATTATGGCACTGGTGGCTCCACGGGACACTATTCCTCAGCCCATCATCAAAGAACCAAACCTCTATGTGCAGACTATTCTCAAACACCTCCATAACCTCTTTTTGCCCAGGTACCTCAAGAACATTGACAGGCAGCAGAGTCCAAGGGAGGGGAAGAAAGAGAAAAATAAGTAGATAAAGGAAATTACTCACTCTGGCATCTGTGACCTCTTTTTTTTGTGTGCATTGTTTATACCTTAGCCCTATGTCACATGGGTTTATTTTCACACAAAGTAAAGCTGAATGTAAATGCATATAATAATGATAACAATGCATAAAGACATCTCCATTTATTCTCCTGAGCTAACCACTCAACCTGTATCACTGAATTAGTAAACAAAGCAGAACTGAATACCCTAACAACAGCAACTGTTTATAGTGCATCCAGTAGTTTTTAAATAAATAAAATGAAAGTTATAAAATAAAAAAGCTCTTTGGGTCATAAAATAAAAAAAAAAAACTCAATCAGAGAGGGTGCATTGAGCTCTTGTGTGGTTGATTGGTGTCTTTGTCTTATGGCTTGTGTACCAGTTAGGTAGATATTCCACATTGCTAACGCATCTTCCTTAAACCAGAAGTTTGTACAGTGTTATATGTGCTTTGTGCTGCAGTTTATATTTGTGCTGTCTCAAAAGACTTCCTTCAGTGAGGTCCTTCCCAACTTTAGTTATAACTAAGTTTTTGTAACTCAGTTATTTTCAGTTACAGTGGCATTCAAAGAAAATATAGATGGATGGAAAGGGAAAAATTAGAATTACTATGGGATTCCTTTGTTTTTTCACAGGTTTTTCCTTTGTCTGGTTGTCGGCTGCCTGCACTAATGCCAGAGAACCAACATTTTCTTGGAATTTTGCTGTAAAATGTATTTTTTTTTCCTTCTCTCTATTAAAGGCCAGAGCATTACAGCCCCAATCACTTCCGACTGTGCCAGCAGGTGCTAACAGCAGTACAGAAGCTGGCTAGAGAGTCAGGCAACATGGCTAGAGAGACCTGGGAGGTGCTCCTGTTGTTCCTGCTGAGGATCAATGACACCCTGTTAGCACCACCAACAGTGGGAGGTCAGTTGCAACCACCTGCACATGGCCTCACTCCATACAGAGGTCACATTGAAATCTGCGATATCTCTTGGAGGAAACAGTTTGGAAAGCCTGTATATTTTGTAGTTGAAAGTTTCATTTTGTGGCAGAATAAAAACTTTGAAAAATTTGAACAATATAAGCTAGCAAAAACAAGTGCAGAGGAAGTGGCCTTTAAAACTGAAAATGGAAATTCATGTTTTTTCTTAATTTATTTGCACAGTGCTTTGTAGTGGAATGGTGTTTGAATTATTTCATAAGAGCTTTTTCCTGTTTATCCAAGAACATGCAAACAACATTAATGATGTGTGTGAACATCATGCTGTCAAGAAAGGGATAACATTGTGGTGAGTCACAGCTAGGACCCATTACATTTTTTGCTCAGTGTTATATTTTTTTTAAAGGAGGAATAGCGGAGAAGTTGGCTGAGAAGCTGATAAGCGTGCTGTTTGAAGTGTGGTTCCTGGCTTGCACCCGCTGCTTTCCCACCCCTCCCTACTGGAAAACAGCCAGGGAAATGCTGGCCAATTGGAGACATCACCCACCTGTGGTGGAGCAGTGGAGTAAGGTCATCTGTGCTCTCACCTCCAGGTATAGAAAAGAAGTTAATGTTTAAGGGAGAAAACTTGCAAACTTTGCATATGCAATCTGTCCACTCATGTTGCTGAAGCCAGTGACCTAGATTCTTGCAAGAAACAGATGACATCCTGAGATCTGTTAGCTAACTCCCAAATAGGCTAGATAGATTGCTTTGAAGCAGTAAGATCAAGAATTGTCAACTGTCTACAACTTTTCTCATTTTAAAAAGCTGTGAAATGTATTTTATGTTATGTGGTAAGTCTGTGTAGATTTTTATGTTTGTGGAAGCATTTGAAGATTTTACATTTAAAGCTCACCATATTTTTTATATTGAAAAAGGAAAATGAAATTATTTTTTTTTTAGGTTGTTGCGATTTACATATGGTCCCTCGTTTCCCCCATTTAAAGTTCCAGATGAAGATGCAAACCTTATTCCTGCTGAAATGGACAATGACTGTGTTGCACAGACATGGTTTCGATTTTTGCACATGCTGAGGTAAAGTACTTTTTACTTTAAAGTATAGAAGTATTTTAAAGTAAAGGAAGTCTTTGATTTAAAATAAGTGAATTTTGATATTGGTTTCTGCAGAATATTCAGTTTCAGGTTCCAAATTTTTATTTTATTATGACCCATTCTACCACACATGCATTGGTTTGGGGGAGTTTTACAACCATACTTAAAAGGTTGAAACTGCTGTGATTGAATGATTTAGTACAATTGTGTCTAATATACAATTCCCTCTAGAGTTTTTGGCACCCTTGGTAAAGATGAGCAAAAAAGGCTATGAAAAAATGTCTTTGTTGTTTATCAGCTTGATCTTACACTGAAAATATGAAAGAAATCTAACCTTTCAGTTTGGTAAAATTATTCAAAAAAAAATCCTTATAAAAAATAAACATTTTTCTGAAAAACACGTTGCAATTATTGGCACACCTAGAAATTCCTATGGGAGCTGTGGTAGCTCAGACGGCAAGGGCGTCTAGCTCCTGACTAGAAGGTTCGGGTTCAGTCTCAGGTAGAGGCAAGCGATGAAGCTTGCTCTAATTCCTTCCAGATGGCTCCTAGGTCCATTCAGCCAGCTTTCCAAATGAATTCCGGGTGTAATAGGTAAAAAAAAAATGGTAGCCCTAACCCCCATTCTCCATGGTCCTAAAAAGAGACCTACCTACCTAGAAATTCCTATGAACAAAATCTAATTGACAAATATTCCCATTCATATTTTACCTTTTTTAAGAACACCTGACTCTTTAGGAACTCTTAGGTGGTCATCCATGACTTCCTGTTTCACTGGGGTATAAAGATGAGGTGACACGCAGGACAAACATCCTAAATAATCCATCAATGTGGGGAAGATCAGAGAATACACAAATTAAATAAGTCAAACGGTTGTTGACCTTCATAAATCAGACAATGGCTATAAAAAATAGCTTCACACCTGAGAATACCAATCTACACTATTAGGGCAATAATTAAGAAGTTTCAAACAACTGTAGCTGTGATGAACCTGCCTGGAAGAGGATGCAAGTGTACTTTGCCCACACGTACAGTGAGGAGGATGGTTCAAGAGGCAAAACTTTCTCCAAGGATCACAGTTGGACAATTGCAGGATGGTTGCATCCTGGGATCACCAAGTCTCCAAAACTATAATTAAACCTCCATGACAACAAACTATTTGGAAGGCTTGCCAGAAGATAGCTTCTGGTGTCGTCAAACCACAAACGGATGCGCCAGCAGTTTGCTAAACATCACTGGAACTTTGATTGGAACCGGGTTCTATGGTGAGATGAGACAAAAATAGAGCTTTTTGGCACCAAACACCAGAGGTGGGTTTTTGGCATAAAAAGAGTCAAGGTCATGCAGAAAAAACCTGATCCCCACTGTGAAGTATGCTTGTGGATCTGTGATGTTGTGGGGCTGTTTTTCTTCCAAAGGCCCTGGAAATCTCGTTAGGATACATGGCATCATCGACTACCATGAGATTTTAGATCAAAATATGGCTTCCTCCCCCAGGAGGCTAAGACTGGGTCGTGGTTGGATGTTCCAGCAGGACGGTGATTCAAAGCATCTCCAGATCCACACAAAAATGGTTCACTGACCACAGAATCAAGCTTTTGCAGTCGCCATCCCAGTCCCCTGACCTAAACTTCATTGAAAGCCTATGGGGTGAGTTGAAGAGGCGAATCCACAAGTGAGGACCAAGGTCTCTGAAGGATCTGGAGAGATTTTGTATGGAGAAATGTTCTTGGATCCCTTTATACGTGTTCTCCCACCTCATCCAGTATTATAAGTGAAGACTCAGTGCTGTTATCTTGGCAAAGGGGGGTGCACAAAGTACTAAATGCAGGGGTGCCAATAATTGACACATATGATTTTGAGAAAAATGTTTATTTTTATAAGGATTTTTTAATTTTAATTTTACCTCACTGAAAGGTTAGATTTCTCTCATAGTTACAGTGTAAGATCAATCTGATAAACAACAAAGACATTAATTCATAGCCTTTTTTGCTCATCTTTACCAAGGGTGCCAATAATTCTGGAGGGCACTGTAGCTGAAAGGTTCTGAATAGGTTTATATTTCAAACATTATAATGGACATTCTATAAGCAGTACTTTTCTTTTAAAAAAGTGTCCTAGTGTTGTCTAAACACTAGAATTTGTCCTGTTTGTAGGGGGCAATACAGAGGTAAGAAAATTTAGAAGAATATATAGTTTAAGAGATTTTCTCTTAAACATATTGAACTGTAAGAACTTAACAGCAGTCACATCAGCATTCATTAGGTCAAAAAGTTGCCATTGTGTTTCATTTGATTCAATCTGTTATAGCCTGTAGTCTTAAACTGTTACCTGCCATGGACTTGAACACTGTTGTGGTTACTGTGTTGCAGTAACCCTGTGGACTTGAGTAATCCTGCTATTGTCAGCACCACGCCAAAATTCCAGGAGCAGCTGCTCAATGTCAGTGGTGTCCCACAGGAAGTCATTCAGCACCCCTGCCTCAAACAGCTGCCTCAGATATTCTTCCGTGCCATGCGTGGGATCAGCTGCCTGGTTGATGCTTTCCTAGGTAGGGTAACAGAAACTAGGAAGCAACTTATCTTCTCTGGGATCCATAGATCGGAGCAAACGTAAATATCCAATTATTGCATTGATTGAATAAATACCCTGTATGCAAAGCTATAGATTTTTATTTCTGTTGAAGTCCTTAACTTGCCAACAGACCTTTTTAGCTACATGTATTGTTACACAGTAAGATGCTAACATGACCTGTACATCCTGAGCCGATAATCTTGCTCCTGAAGCAGCACTTCTGACAGTGTCAGCAATTCTTTTCTGTTTATTTCTTTAAAATCCTTATGTACTGAACGTATGTACTGTATTTATGTTTAGGAGCTGGTTGGTTCAGTGTTTTTCAAAGACACTTTTTTAATGTTTAAAAAACATGTTCTCTTTCTTTCTTAGGAGTTGCAGTCTCTAGGAGAGAAATGCGTGAAAGACTGTCCTCTTATGGTATATATTTGTCATAATCATAGAGAAAGAACTATATTAATGTGGGTAGGAGAGTGTCTGAATGAAAAAGGTTGATTTCTGTTAATAGTAATTGTGGTTATGTGTTGTAGGTTGGGAAGGTGTTGTGCTCTGGTAATGAGTGAAGTAAATGCGCAGACTGAAAGCAAAATACATTGCTTTAGCCTTGTTACCAGATTTTACCACACTGAGTTATGAAGGAAAGTTGTAATGTATTGTGAAACAACATATTATTTTTCCCCATAAGTAAAATGTAAAATTGCAGGGCTCTGGACCATGAAGAGAATAAACTGCCCATGAGTTTGATTCACTTATAGCTCCCCAAATACAGTGCATAGGGTCTCTTTTCAAGTCCAGGTTACGTTCCTAAATAATATAACTTACAGCAAAATGTGCAGCAGCATTTTCTACAAGAAGAATCTTTAATGTTAGTTTTTGCTTTCACAATTATTTTTCATTTTCCATGAACCTACCTATTAAACCAACATCGCTTGGAATTTTTACATTGACTTACAATGTAAGTGCGAAATAGTGGGGCAACTTATACCGGGGACTGTCTGCACCTATAAAGTGTAATTTTTAAAATGTCATACTTTGCATTGTTACTTTCATGAGAAAGACAAAAAGAATGTTATGTTTTTGCCACCTGCTGACCTTTGTGAAGAGAGAAAACCCTTCACTCAGCTTTCTAATAGTTTTTCCCTTTCAGAGGGTTGATATTTATCGGTGCCAATGGCTGTATATCTTACAGACACAGACATTACTGCAACTGATTGGCCAAACATACTAGTATGCCTTTTTGTATATGTGTATATATATGTATGTTTGCTTCTTAATGTATACCTTTGTAAATAAACTATTATATCCGGCAAGAAAGTAAAAGGTTAAAATTCAAGGAGACTCCTTGGGTAGAGAAGAAAAGTAGTAAAATATTGAGTGTCCATAGGAGCTTATATAAGTAGATCTCTACGAATACCGAAGTTGTTTGGTAGCAAAACTGATGGCATAGGAAGAGTCAGAAATGTGAGATGTACAGTTTCCTATTGTTCTTCTATTAGAGTACAGTTGTCTCTAATAGAAAAGGCAATAAATTGGAAAGTATTGGTGCATGTCCTGAAGGCACAGTGTATGTTGGGAAATGAAGCTTATGAATGAGTACTACTATCATAAGATCATAAGTACTGCTGTTAGCATGAACTGAATAAGTACAAAGGGATGTTGAAGTGAGGATGTAATTAGCGGTGTAAAATAGGTCACTTTTAACTACTGCTGTGATTGTATGCATTGTATACTGTATGCTTAAAATGCTATGTTAAACAGTTATTTCTTTTTTTTTTCATAGGAGTAGCAGTTTCTAGAAGCAATATGCGTGACAGACTCTATTCTTATGGTACACTGAATCTGGACTAAATACCAATCATCAGATAGTAATAATAATAGTGTTTGGGTGTGATGGGTTAAATGTACATATGATTCCTACTGGTTGTGGCTGATGTAACGAGCAAGGCAATCACAGTAGTGATTGACAAGAAAAGATGTTGGTAAAAGGCTTTAGTAAGAATAGATATATGTATATGTATAGATATAAAATAGATATAAAAATACAGTATGTGTAGTTAAAATTAATTAGTCTTGAAGTTGCTCAGTTTTATTATGCTTCATGTACCTTACAAATTACCAGTCTTTTTAACTGTTCACTGGCAGTGAGGCATTTAATGTAATCTGTAGCTGGATATTCGGTTTGGAGAATACTGTATATGGTGTGACGGTTGACCATACTTCTTGGAGGTTCATGGTTGAAATAACTTAACAGAGCACAAATAGCTCAAAACCCAGATCTCAAGCAAGTGACTCTAGAGAAGCTGTTGTAGGTCACCATGTAGTCTCTGTATGCCATATACGTTTTACTAGAAAAACCTTTGGCCTTTAGAATAAAATCCCCAGCGGTTCAATCTGGAGTTTTTGGCATCAGGTTTAAATATGGATGTTTTTTAAAATAAAACCAAACTGTAATCTAAAGAGATTTTATAAGTCAAACAGTCTCAACTATTTTTTTTCAAATTCTAGTATCCAGTAATAGTTAATAAATTGGTATAGATCACAGAAATAACTTATCACAATACTGAATTTAAACTAAATGCGACACATTTTATCTTGCCTGGTGTGGTCAATTTGTTGTGTCAGTTTGAATTATCTTATCTGGGGGAATCATAGGGCACCTGGGATTGTCCAGAAAAAACAGCACAATGAGAACAAAACAATTGATGTGGAATATTTATTCCTTTCCATTATCACTGAAAATGTCCTAAATAACTTCTATGAGAATGGAAATGAATAAAATCAATAAAGCTTTAAATATAATATTTTTAATGTCTTGCTGCTTGGGATGAAACATTGAACGTATCTTAAATTGTTTTCCATCTCCATTTTTATGTGATTCATTATGCTTATTTTTATATTTTTTCTAATATGTAAAAAGTCCACTATAATGTCTTTCTTCCACAGGTGTCGCAGTGTCTAAGACCAATTTTCGGGAAAAGCTTCCTTCTTATGGTATATATATTAGTGCACCCAAATAATCAAAAGGAAGGTTTTGCAATCTGGGTTAAAGGGTTTGTAGGAGTTTGCAAAAAAAAATCTAATTCTTGACAAGGCAAAATATGAACAGATTTGCTTGGTGTTGGTTTCACCGTGGATAATAACTGACATTTCCAATTGAAAAAAAAGCCCAAAGGTTGTGTTTTTCAGTTCCTACCTGTACTGTATTATTCAAAGATGGCCACTCCAAATTCTTCTCAATAAAAAGGAATGTCTTAGCCAAAGGTTTCAATGTACATAAGATTTACAGTTTCTAATTGTGTGGATATTTTAAATCTGTAAGTAAGTGTTTAGGTTAATGGGAAGCTTTTGCTTTGGCATGCATCCATAACTACTCTGTTGTTATTATCATCATTTACAGATTGAAACTCCATCTGGTTTTGGAAGTTTATAGATGAAATTGCAGAATATTTCTGTTTGAAGGGCTTTCTGTCCTGTTTGTAGAATAATCTTCATGTGTGGATTTAGAAGAACTACTTTACTTTTTATTCCAGATTAAAATAGTTAAAAACAACATTTATTAGCCTAGCAACAGCAAAATGATTCCTATCTGTGGTTCTGACTCATCCTAGATGGGGCTACATGCTTTAAGTCATCAATGAAATGAAGAGAATCCAAATATCGCCTTTTATGTCACTCCTAGACATGTCTCTTACATAGACAAATTACTGTACTTACACATTCTGTTAGTAGTGAGACAGTTAAATGTTTTGGCAGTAATGTAGCATTATGAGGTATGGTGAATGGGAGAAGAATATATTTTGGTAACTTGGAATTTTTGTAAGCCAAGCCTTTTATACGGAAATGTTCACATTTGGCACCTGGCATTTGCCAGATCGTATACACAAAGAAGTTGCAATCCATTATTGATTTATTTAAGGTAGTGTGTCTCTTACCTAATCAATAGCCATGTTGCATGAAAATGTTTTAAGTGTGTTTACCAAGCATGTACTTTATTCACCAGGTAAATCTAAAACTATATCTTTTCAAACATACCTTCAGTTGAAGAGTTGCACAGTGTTTTTCTTGATTTCCTTACAAAACCACCAATCCTTCAGCAGTGATTGCTGTTTGTCCAAAGCCTCATATCTGAAGACTAGCAGTTTGGATGCTTTAGACCCCTCTGGCTACCGTCTAATGTGGCACCATTTTTTCAGAAACCTTGTTTGGAAAAGACGTGGTAAATAGTATCACTGAAAACCATTAAAACTGAACATTAGGAAGCTTGAATGTATACCAAAATATTTTTGAATGTTAACTTAAATCTTGGTTTTGTAATTTAGCTTTCAAAATGTTACTGTTTTTAATACTTTAATGCTATTAACTCCTAAGATGAGTATCTTATCACAAAAGGTGTCATTCATTTCTTCTGCATGTAGTTTGTTGCTAAGTGACATTTTAAGCATTTTTCACCTTAGATGGTTATGCAAAGAGGGCTAAGCATGCATGAAACTGCACTTGTGGAAAGAGGCAACATTGTAATCATATTAATTTTGCCATTCAGATCAGCACTCTGGGAGAGGGATGTTTTCTGACACTGGGAGGCACATGTGATCAACATATCAAGGTTGTGTCCTTTCTTTTTACTGCCAACTCTTCCTAGGTATCTCTCGCCCCAGATCAGATAGTGCCCCACCTACTCCGGTCAACCGGCTGAGCATGCCTCCAGCTCCTACCACAACCAACACCACCCCACCGCACAGCCGAAGGCATCGCGCCGTCACTGTCAACAAAAACACCATCAAAACCACTACAGTAAGTGCAGCTCCAGCCTGACTACAAGCTGGATGGTTGCTGATAATGTATTCCAATCATCCTTTTAATCATAAAGATATTTAAATACAGTCGATTATTTATTTGAATGTTTTTTAAATAGAAATAATATAATCTCTTTATGGGATGGCATGGTGATACAGTAGTTATCACTGCTGCCCCTCAGTGCTAGGGTTCCGCGTTCAATTTGTAGGATGTAGCCGAGTGGAGTTTGCATGTTTCCCCATTTTTATGATGGTTTCCGCAGGGTGCTTTAGTTTCCTCCCACAGCCCCAAGACATGCTTGTAGGCTTGTGTGTGTCCTTCAAGGGACTGGTTGGTTACCGGGATAGGCTCTGGTTCCCCTGTGACCATTTGTTGGATACAGCGGTTAGAAAATGGATGGATGGATTGATGGTCTCTTTTTTTAATGTTTATTTACATTTTTTACCTGATTAGAATGCTGTTAGGGGAACTCTCATTTTCAATTTTTTCCATTCCATTGCCATTTTTGTTTTTAGGATTCACACATTCGAGTCTGCATTCGAAAGTATTAAACTCAATTTGCAGCTAGGATATGAAGCTCCTGAATTCAACACATGCTAGAAATATATAATTTTTAATCCTATTCATTTGAAAATACTTTGTTTAATGCTGCAATTTATTGATTTGAAGAAAAGAAGAAAAATAATAAATAGCTTTATGTGTCTTAATTTGACTAATTTGGTCCTTCCTTTATATAAAAAATCTTGCCTTAGCAAGACTATACGAATGTGATGGAGTTTGTGATGCTCACATTTCCAAAACCTCTTCATCTGGTAATATATTAATTTCCTCTCCTAGGGAAGTACAGCCCACCCTTCCAAAGTGCAGCATCAAACATCAACAACTTCTCCTCTGTCCAGTCCCAACCAGACAAGCTCTGAACCTCGGCCACTGCCAGCACCTACCAGACCAAAGGTCAACAGCGTACTGAACCTCTTTGGCCAATGGCTGTTTGATGCGGCCCTGGTCCACTGTAAACTACATAATGGAATGAACAGGGACAACAGCATGACTGGTAAGAAAGTGTTTTAAGACCACAAAGTTAGGTTTTTTTATCTTATTTTTTTCTTTTTTTCCCTTTTCCTATTGTTTCCAAATTTCCTACCTGCAAGATTAACAGCTCCATCTGCTTTACATCTGAAAATGCAAGTGCTTATTAGTAGCTTCTCTACTTTTGCCAAGGTAGGGCATCAGGTTAACCCCATTCAGCTCAGAATCTGCAACAGCTTTTTATATTCTGCTGGATCCTAAGTAGTAATAGGAGCAACAAAAGACAATCTAAATCAATGCCTTGTATATCTTAATACCATAAGCTTACAGTAAATTCTCCAACTTTTTAGTGCCATTCACAAGATTTGTAAATATTATAAATGTCTGACAATGTTTTCAAAAAGGAAAATCAGCAACTTTTGGCTTGATTAATATGGTGAAAATGTGTTTGTCCATACTTTGTAAATATTGAAATATAGTGTGTTTTTACCAGTTTCAAACTTTGAGCTGAAAAACTTCAGATGTGTGGTGAAATCGACTCGAGCAGAAAATATTTTGTCTAGTTTTAATTATCTCATTTTGAATTGTCTTGGCGTAACATTAAAGCTTTTTTGTCTCATGTGCCTTCTACTTTGTATAACATAGCTGCTTTATTTATTCAGATGGGAGGAGTAAATTGTTCATAGCCATCATCTATCAAGGATTTTTTGTGGTGATTGTTAATTGTTCTGCATTCCATAACACCTCTGGGAACACTCACCAATGCTGCAGTAGCCAGTTCCTCCTGTGGCTTATCGCTGTACACTGTCCTGTCCCCATTGTGTGCTGACAACTGTCCAGCAGGCACTTTTTCTTTAGTCAAATTCCTTTTTGTTTCACTTGTTTTCACAAAAGAAGAGAAAAATATGTCCTTAGATAAAACTGCTAGACAGTTATGTATTTAGTTATTTAAGTATCAGCTTTGTTGATGTGTTCCTTCTCAGAAATGTTTGAAGCCTGAAGCTTTAGGAGCATTTTATGGAGACCAAATCTTTTTTTCAGTTATGGTTAGCCTCCTGGTATATATTGTATGAACAAATTTAGAAATGCCGGGTTGTTATATAATCTGTATTTCATTTAATTACTTTAGTATTCTGGTTAATAACTGGCTAATGAGTCTAACAGATCATACCTTTATGTTCAGGTGGGTAGCTGTGTCAGCATGCGTAGGATGCAAAGGAACAAGTAATAGGTGTGACACCTGAAGAAGGCTCCATGGCCGAAACATTGCGTTTTCTTTCTTCTCTTTTCAGCATGGAATAAACCTATTACTTGTTCCTTTGCTTATCTTCATGTTGTCAATGCTACATGTAATGATGATTGATATCCTCCTTTCTCTTCAGTTAGTCAAGTGTCCTGTATACTGCAAGCACCCAAAAATAATTTGCTGTGTTTTGCCTCACAGTGCAGTTAAATGTAGTTCAGGTGGGTAGCTGCATCAGCATGCATAGGCTGCAAAGGAACAAGTGATAGGTTTATTCCATTCCGCAGAAGAAAGAAAACGCAACATTTCAGCTGTGAAGCCTTCTTCAGGTGTGAGATGTGAGCCTTCTTCACACCTGAAGAAGGCTCCACGGCCGAAACGTTGTGATTTCTTTCTTCTGTTTTTCAGCATGGAATAAACCTATTACTTGTTTCAGTGCAGTTAAATGCCTTTCTTGCTGGAAGACACACTGGGGTGGACAGAACTTTATTGCAGGTCGCAAAATTGTCATGCCAATATATTACTGAATTAAAGGATTGTAGGATTGAAGGAAATTAACAAATGGTTTCTAAGGTTTGAACAGTATTGGTGGAATAAGTGTTTTTGTCGCTTTGTAGCGGTGGAAAAAATACATAAAATTGACCTGAATTTACCACTTGTATCAAGATATAAGTGTTTCTTGGGTTATGTCTAGAACATTTGCTTTTATGAGATTCCTGGCTTGAATTCAAGAATATCTCAAAGTATCAGTGGGGTAGGCCTGCTACTGATTCAGCTTGTTCAATGCACAAATACAAATGTAGAGGTATACTTTTCATACAGGCAACATGTCCATTTATCATCCGTACGTACTTTGTAGATAGGATGCCGGAGGGATGGAGCATCTTTTTGAGAAGAAGTCTTTAAGAGCCTATTGAGGCAGGCTTACCTACTGTAGGTAGTAGGGTGCACAGGTCGGCCTTTTTATTTTACCCGCACCCGCCAACAGTTGTGAGGAACAAACCCACACCCCCCCGACCCCATTTAAAATGATAAAAGTACTGACCTGAACCCAGTGTGAACCCAACCATTAGAAATTACACCAAACAATAGTGATGCATGGGTCAGCTTTTTTTTTTACCCCCACCCGCCTGCAGTTGTGAGAAACGAACCCGCACCCGCCTGACCCGATCTAAAATCTTTTTGTTTTTATTCCGAGCCAGCCCGACCCGTGGGTTTGAGTCAACCCACGCATCACTAGTAGGTAGTCAGTGAGAGTGACAGCTGTGGGAGGCTTTACAGTGGCACTACTTCTAAAAGCCACCTGCTTCCCTTAAGACACAAAGCTGGTAGGACAGAGAAAGGAACCAAGAGAGCATTTCTCCTGAGTGGTATATGTTGAGATCCTTTGATTTGTTTCCATTTTTCTATAAGTTCAACATATGCAGAGGTGCAGAAACGAGCAGCTGGCACGGAGCTATGGTAGTGTCAGTATTCTTTTATCTGCGTAATTGTTGTGAGTGAGCAGACCTGATATGTGTAGCAGCAACTTATACAGCAGAAGGTGTGTGGCAGTTGTGGGGATCCATCAGCAGTTAACCAGTCTTATGTGAATTTTGTAAAGTGCGAGTAAAAGGTTATGCAAAAAAAGTGAATTAGTAGTCCAAAAAGTAGGAATGTTGCCAGGAAAGGGCTCATTCTACATGGAAAGTAATGAATGATGGAAGGATATGACTTTCTGCTGGCTTCTGGCAGTTTTTGAGAAGGGTGTTGCATCTTATTGGGTTATGTGTACCGAGCATAGGCTGACGGAACTGGAAATGTGCCTCTAGCTCCAATTTGAGTGTTACAGCAAAGCTATGAGTGTTTTATGTTGATTCTGATATTGCAGACTGATGGGGTACTGGAGGTACACTGGCAGCTGAGAGGAACCAGTCCTGTTCATGTGATTAGTAATGTTGATGTATGTAAGGGGCAGCCTGGTGATCCAGTGGCTGTACGCAGATATGAAGTTGAAGGGCAGCTTGGAGAAACACCAGTGAGCTAGTAGCTGCTAATGTGTTAGTTTTACATTGAGGAGCTAGGTGCTCCAGGACATCATTCTATTGTATAAATACACAGAGGAGCCGAGTGCTCCAAGTTAGTGATACAGTGAGGAGCTGAAATGCTACCAGACGCAGTTGATGCTGTGTCAGACCGCTAGTAAGGTAAAGTAGACAGCAGTTCTGGCCAAACGGGAGTGACCAGTAGATGATTTTACGCTGTTACTACCTGTGAGGGACCAGTATGTGAGATGGATGTTTGTGCCCTGGTGGTTTGAGTCCGTAAATAATGGGTCACGAGCACGGGCACATGACAAGCCTGACAAGCTTGTGAGAGGTAGGAACTAGAATATGGATCACAGAGCCTGGGAGAACTGTGAGTGAGTCATAAAACATAGGTCTGAGGCATGAAAAGGATATCGAAGGGATGGGGTGTTGTTCCACTGAGGACGGTGTAGTTTGACAGATGGATCTTTGAACCCTTTGCTCTCAGTTTTCCAGGCTGATAGTTAAGTCAGTTGGAATGTAAAACAATTAGGAGGTATCCTTGTTAAAAAAAAAAAAAACACAGGTTGCCTTGAATTCTAGGAATTTCCCTGCACTCCCTACCATTATAAATGGGTTAAAATGTCAGACAGTTCAAAGCTGACCTGGACAGTGTCAGAAAGAGGCACGACTCCGTAGAAATTAGTCTAGAATAGCCCATTTTGACTTCAGTGATGTTTCTTTTTGGTAATTTGCAGGTCTTTGGCAAAGTTATGGTAGTCTTCATATATGTAAAACATAGCACACATATGTTTTATTAGTTCAGTTTCATTCATACTGAGCACAAGGGAGGCAAATTGTTGACAAGACTTAAAATTATATAAATCTAAACCCTCTTGATGCAAAAAAAATATATATTTCCTCTCTAAAGACATTTTTTCTGAGCTGAACGGGTTAATAAAGGGAATAATTAGTTTTAAACTTATCTTGAATGTTCTGCTGTCTTTCTTAACCTTTTTCTTGTTTTATCTGATTTTTCTTATCTATATATTTTTGCATGTGATTGTCCAAGTCCTGGCTGTTATAACCTGACTGCCACTCTTATATGTAGTTAGTTTGCTTCCATGCAAAGATTTTCCAGTACAAAAAAAATGTGAAAGGAGGCTGCTTTTTACATTAAAAACCTGATTTCATCATCTTTAAAGATATTTATATTACTGCTGTCCTTTGATTTGTTTCCATTTTTATTTCTATTATCTTGCAGCATCTTTTATCCAAATTCTTCTTTCTTATAAATCTTGTAAGTAGGAACGGTAGCTTCTATTAAATTGCAGTCAGTTTTTATTTTTTGTATTTGTTCATCGCCACCATTTTCCCTCCTATAATTTTTACATTTTTGTCATCTGGTCCTTGTTGCTATGCACTGATTTCTTGGGGAAAGAGAGCTATCCACTTCCTTCCTCCCTCTGTCTTCGAGTGGGAAAGATTGCTGGCCAGAGACCCTTCTGTCCTCATTAATCTGACCCACCATGTTCTACTAGTCTGTGATCACTTCATTTCCCCCAGGTTTTGCACTAACCATTTTTGTTTCTCAAAAATTATCCTATGTTGTTGAGTGTAAAGTTTTTTTTTTGTCTGATTTTCTTCCTTAATTGTTTGGTTTTTGTATGTGCCTAAATGCATGAAATTAGTGTCTGTCCAGAAAGTGCTAGTTATGTTCTGTTTTTAAAGACTCATGGGAACTGACAAAGAGACTTTGCTGATGTTTATTTTATTTGGCTGCATTCTTCAGTTGAATTCTTGAATCTGCAGAGAGTAATGGCATTGAAAGAATAAAAACAATGCATAGCTGACCTACATCTAAAGAATTTCTACAGTAGCATTCATATTACAAGAAAACAGTAAGTAACAATGTCAAGAAAACAACAGTGAGCATTCAGAATGCTCCCTGATTTAGAATGACTGACGCAATTCTTCGGGAAATTGATAAGATGTCTTCCTTTGTGTCATGGTGGACCATGGTGCCATTATCTTTACTGGGGACGCAAGAAGCACAAGTTTTGCTGTGAGTCTGGAAAGGACAAACAGCAGTACAACAGCTACTCTGTGCCAACCTGACTGACCTGTATCTGAATCTGGGAACTGTGGCACAAAATATGATTTTCTCATTTTGAAAATCACAGTGACATATGTTGTAATTGTAGCCTTAAGTGACTTAAGTTAAACTAGTTTTTAATACAGACACAAAGTACTGTAGAAGAACTTATAGATTTGTATCTCCATGGGAAGGAAAAATGTTTCAGCAGATAGTTAACTAAAATTGTGGGGACTCTAAAAACATCTGTAACAATCTACGTGATGACTTACCTTCACAGCTGTAGTATAAAAACTAAAGTAAAGTGTCACTGTAACCATACCTTTAGTAAAAAAATTACATCTGTGTCAAGCCAGTCTGACACATGGCTTAATATATGCTCTTTGCTGAAATTTGCTGCTATCACACTAATGCATGTCCACACGGAAATATGAAGCTAGTTTTAAGTCCTTTGGTACATTTGAAAATGAGCACTTTCATAGGAGTAAAATAAGTAAAGTTATTTTTAAAATCCTAGTTGAGCTCACGCTTTTGAAGTCTTTAATTAAAAGTTTTTGAGTGCATCCTCCAACTGTTTATGATCTGCTAACACTTATCTAGTGGCAGGATGAAGCCTTAAGTTAAAACTCAGCTTTTTTGCAAAATCTTTGTGTCAGAACTCCCTTTGAGCCACCCTGAGACTGAGAGTTGTCCAATTCAGGTGGCATTCTTTTCTTTGTCCTCAGCGATAGCAACCCAGGCTGGTGTGGAGCTCCGTCGAAAGGGTTCTCAGATGTCAACGGACACCATGGTCTCCAATCCAATGTTTGATGCCAATGAGTTCCCGGATAACTATGAGGCTGGGCGAGCAGAAGCCTGTGGAACACTGTGCAGAATATTCTGCAGTAAAAAGACTGGTGAAGAGATTCTGCCAGTGTACCTATCTAGGTAAATCATGCCATGCCATGTTAAAGAACTAACACCACTTAAGCATAAGGTTATCAAATCTATAGGTTATTTTATTTTCTATATCCAGAGATCTCAACCATTTATAACAAATGTAACGTCATGGAAGCCACTTTGCTTCATGGTTATGTCCTTTGCCCTACCTTACAGGAATATTGGATGAGAATATTCAGAATTTTATCTGAGGTGCTACTGTAATTGTCCTGGGAAGGGCTGGGGAGGCTACAATTAGCCCACCAATGCTTCTTAGCCTATGGTTTAATCACTGCAAAGAAACTCATTCTTATTTTCTGGAAAAAGAAGAAGGTGGCCTCAGTGAAGCTTTAGCTCACTGAGCTGACTTATACACTGCACTTAGAGAGGATCAGATTTATTCTGTAAGACAAGTTCAAAGAGTTTTAGGAGTTATGGGACCCTTTAATTTCATACCTTGAAAGATAATACAATTGAACTATACATAAAAAGTTGTTTTTAAGACAATAGGAAGTACACCTTCGGGGCTGATTTTTATTTGTTTTGTTCTATGATTGTTTTGCTTTACCTTCTGTTACAGAAAAGTAAATAAAATATTTTAATATTATTTTGATGTATCTCTCAATATGATCGTGAGTACTGCACATTTTGTTTATGCAACACTTGTCTGAAGAATTTTTTTTTTCTGTCATCTAAGATTCTCAATTTTCTTCTCTTCAGGTTTGATATGGTTCTGATCCAGGGTCTGCAGATATCTGAATTTATCTGTCGCCCTGTCCTTGCCAGCATTATCCTCAACTCTTCTGCACTGTTTTGCTCAGATCTGAAAGGAATCAATGTTGTTGTTCCTTACTTCATCTCTGCACTGGAAACCATTTTACCAGATAGGTAAGAGCTGTAGATTATACTTAGGCATACGAACAGTGTAGCCCTAAGAAGCTAGGTGGTTAGGCGTTTTCAGTGCTGTTATTAGGATGTTCATTGTTCAAGTGCTGACTCAGTGTTTAGTTGTGTTACACAGAGCCTGTTACTAAACTGCCGTGTGCTCCATCCTTTGTGTGAGACATTAAAAAAAACCCTGTGTCCTGGTTTTGGTCATTTTAAATCAGTAGTTGTTGATGCAAAGTTCACTTTCCAGACTTGGGAAGTAACAGAAATAAATATAAAAACGTCTGCTGAATGACTTATTGCTACTGCTATTCTTGTTCTTTTTATTAAACTTTGTTATGCTTCTTAACCAATGGTAACTACAAATTTTGAATTTGTTATAAATACCTCTATTGATGGTTTTAAGAAAAATGGTTTTTATTTGGTACTTTGTGAAACAGCCAGCAGCCGTATCACCCTGCAGCTCTTAACTGGCTATCCACCCACCCTGCGGTCTGTGTAGGTCCTAATGCCCTGGTTTAGTGGTTGGGATACTATACCGTAGTGGGCGCAATCTTTCGGATGAGACGTTAAACCAAGGTCCTAACTCTCAGTAGTCATTAAAGATCCCCAGGCATGATTGTCCCAGTGTCTGGGCCAAATTTCCCCCCCTCAGCCTTGATATTGTCCCCACGTATGATTGGTTTGCACTTACCCTGCTATGGACTGGCGCCCCGTCCAGGGTGTACACTGCCTTGCGCTCCTTGCTTGCCGGATACGCTCCGGCTTCCTGCAACACCATATGGTATAAAGCGGTTTGGCAAATGACATGACTTTGTGATATTTGCAGTTTCCTTTGCATTTATGCATTCAGAAATTTGAAGTAAACTTATTAACTTTTTTTACTGTCTGTAAACCGTCTATTGCTTGTGTTAGAACTATCCAAAATTGAACAAGGCGCCATGTTTATACATTCAGCTAAACAATTATTAACCCTATTATTAAACTAATAGTGATTCAGTTATTGTACCCATCTAAACTGAAACAGTTTACCCATTTACAGGTGCAATTCTGCTTCATCCCTATGTGTTGCCTGTCTTGCAGGGAATTGTCTAAATTTAAAGCTTATGTGAACCCCACTGAGTTGAGGAGGTCATCCATCAACATTCTGTTGTCAATGCTTCCTCTCCCCCATCATTTTGGAAATGTGAAATCGGAGGTATATTTTTCTGCATTCAGTTTAATATAACAGAAAGTAATTGTACAGTTCTAATAAATCACTACTCTTTAATAAAGAAACTCTATATGGGGCTTACAGTCATCTCCAAAATTATTGGCATTGTTGATGAAGATGAGAAAAAAGGCTGTATAAAACGAACAACACAGGTATTAAGTGCAGTAATTATTGGCACATCTTTTTTCAGTACTTCGTGAACTTTCACTTTTCAGGGATCACAGCACTGAGCTGTTTTCTATAATGTTTTATGAAATTGGAGGACACATTGAGAGGGATCTTAAACCATTCCTCCACACACTCTTGCTAGATGCTTCATATCCTCCGTTATGAGCTTGTAGACTGCCCCTTTCAATTCAAATTACTGGTTTTCAATGGGGTTCAAGTCCAGTCACTGAGATGGTTGGTTTAAAATGTTTATTTTGTGGTTAACATTTCCTTTGGGTTTTTAATGTGTGCTTTTGGTCATTGTCTTGCTGGAAGATCCACTTTTGGCCTTGTTTAAGCCTCCTGGAAGAGGTAATGAGATTTTTGGTACTTGGTAGAGGGTAGCGTTCATGACGCAGATGACCTTAACAAGGGCCCCAGCACCAGTGGAAGCAGAAAAGCCTCATAATGTCCATAAATCCATAAATATCCATTACAAATCCACCATCAGATTTTGAATTAGGTAAGAGGTTCTTTTATATATACACAAGCCTCTTTGGATACCAAACTTGCCTTTGGGTGCCCAACAGTTATCCTCTTTGGATAACTGGACTGTGATCAGTATAAAATTGTTTGTGTCTGGAAACTTTTAGTGACCTTCCTGTCCATTGGTGGTTCTTAACCTATGTGTTACTCATTGGAATTGTGTCCTGCAACCTTAACAGATTAAATTTAATGGCTTTTGGTTTTGTCAACCCTGCTACCACTTAAAACATTTTCTCTGTAATAGCAGTTCATACTGTGAAGTACATTAAGTACTTTTTTTCTTAGGAAATGTAATTTCAGTGGATTGTTTCAGTTTTTTGTTTTTTTCCAGGTTCTTTTGGAAGGGAAGTATAGCAATGATGACAACTCAATGCAGGACAAGGCGGTCACATTTCTCTCGCTGAAGCTCAGGCTGGTCAATATTTTAATAGGAGCTCTACAGACTGAGACGGATCCGAACAATACACAAATGATCCTAGGTGTGTAAAATGACATGAATTATATGTCAGGCAGGTGATTTGTTTTCTAGAACATAACCTTAACATTAAAACTTTTTTTTAAAATAATACATCCGTTTATACTGTTCAATTTTTTTGGTTTTATATGTGACTTTGATATGCTGTAAGTAGCCTCTGATGACGACATTTGAGCATAATTTTTACATTCTATTTTTTAGGTGCAATGCTAAATATTGTTCAGGATTCAGCCCTTTTAGAATCAATAGGGACTCAATCTGAATTGGTAAGAGCATTTTACCTTTTCTGTGTTTAGTACCTATTTTGTCATAACACAAGCACTGGAAAACAGGATCAGGATGTAATAGCACTATAAAATCCTTATTGGTGACAAACTTTATTTCATGGCTTTAATGAAAGTATATCTTTCAGTCTTTTTGTTACATGCATACAGAATAAGGTATTAATTTTCTGTAACAGTGTACAGTGGCTTGATTGTTGGTCCAGAGTTACTCATCCAGTAGAGGTCTTTGCTTGTAGTGTGTAATGAGTTCTGTAGATTGACAGTGGAGATCCAGGCTAAGATGTCTAGCTTTTCTTGGCAGTCCTTTGAGCTCAGCTGTATAAATGGGTTCAGTAATGGTCATCTCACTGCATTGCTGTGGTGTTGCAGGTTGGTGTCGAATGTGACCAGACGGCTGTAAAGAGCCACAGCCGAAACAGCAGTGGAATCAGCACAGCCAGTGGGGGCAGCTCAGAAGCCACCACTCCAGACAGCGAGAGGCCCGCACAAGCACTTCTGAGGGACTATGGTAAGGAAAAAAAAGATACAGTTGCTTCAAACATATTTATTCCTGTAACATTGTACTCTGTTGAAAAACAGGGCAGTTCTTTGTTATCTTGACAATCTTTTAAGGAGCCTCTGAAAGCGTTTTTGCTATGATAAAAAATGTGATTATTTGTAAGTTGAACCCCAGTGTCTTTAATTTTACTGATTGCAATCTAATAATAAATAGTCTTACACTTACATAGTGCTTTTCTGGATACTCCAGTTGTGTTTATTTAATTCTTTGAAGTATCAATTCAAATTGTGTTTTATACACAATTTACCCCATATACATATTCAAGGCAAAAAAGAATGAATTGACTATGAAAGCAAAATGGAAAGGTCATAATTACCCATATTCTTGTAGCAAACCTAAATTAATTTGCACAACATGAACTTAATGAGCCACACAATTAGTTGCGCTATATTAGTTATTCACATTATTTCAAAATATATACAGTAGTCACGACATTTGCGACGGTTTGGTGCTGAAAGCTTTCGCGGATAGAAAAATTATTCTGTAAGCAGCTCTTCCTCTATACTATATACAGTATATAATGCATTGCAGTATATAGTTGGTATGTTTAAAAGACATAAACAGCCCTCCCTAATGTGATAATTAAAGCACTGGCTTTACGTTAAAAAATAACATTCATCAGTTGAAACAAACAACAGTAATCACTGATTTACAATAATCTGCTAAAATAAATAACTTGAATCTCTCTTCTGCATCTAGTGGGTCCCTACATCTCTACATTCGTTTTTTTTTTACAAAACTTCTATTGTCCTTGTAGTGGTAATGAGCACTGTAAAGTAGAGAGTTACACCCAGGCGGTTTAAAGTGTGATTGGAGCATTACTTTTGGTTTGTTTCTTATATAGCCGAATGCATAACAATAGTCTACTGTTATAGCTTGTTGTTGGCTCTGGTGTGCAAAATTCTTTAAGTTAAACAGAAGGGTTATTTTTACAATTGATTCAGACTGATTTCATTCCCCTCATTTAGCTGAAACGGATAAAGAAGTCATGCAGTAGTTATATGTTTTGGAAGGCGCTCTGTTTTATTAACAGACACTCCGACTTAAACCTGTGTTGTACAGTGATGTAGACATAGGTAATTTCATCTCCATTAAACAATGTGCTTATTGTGCAAAACCTGCTAAATTAGAAGAATTGCAGAAGGTGATAAACTGTACATTATTTACTGGAGCGCAGCTGAGTTCAAAGATGGAAGTCTGTGAAGTACCCCTGTTTAATGGTACCAAACATTGATGAGACGTCACTGTTCTGTACAGATTACAGAAAAGTGAATGCTGAATCTCCACCAGACATCGTATGTACTGTTTAACCGTATTCAAGGACCGATGCGCTGTTCCCATTTGTACCAGGGTTACTCCCTGGAAATCAGTTCTTTTTAACTTGGAGTTTGTAATGTCGGGCGCTCTGAACGAGTTAAACTTTGATGCAGTATAAATAAATTTCTCACAAGCTATACTGTAGTTGTTTTAAAACTATACAACACCGCGCTGTTTGCATGTGGCAAGTCTTTGTTCAAGTTTTAAAACTACAGTATGGAAAAACGAGTGTTAAGAAAAAACAGGACATTTGATTACTTGTTGCCTTATGTTAAACAGCAACAAGGACAACAGAGCATGCTACTGAAAATTCCTTCCCCTACCCCAGAACTGTCTATTGTACATAACATTACACAGCAGGTGTTAACACTCCTAGCCTTTGTGAGAAGTACAGAGCTGCATTACATAAAGTGGCAGTGGAATATACTAGTAGGTAAAAGTTAATTCCAAGCTGGAAAGATAAGACACAATGTGTCTTCTCTATAAATCTTCAGTTAAGAGACTGTCCAGGATAATTTATTATCAATAATGTCTTCCATATTGTATTACGATTGGAACGTTTTTTACAAGTGTAAATCCACCTGTTTTCTAACAGCTTTATCCAGGACAGGTAGCAGTTTAACCCCTCCCCCTTCCCTATGCCTGCCTGACCTGTTCCCATTTTTAAACATTCTGTGTCCGAATCGCAGAATAAATTAAAAATTAAACATAAAATGTGTTTACAAAGAAAGTGGATTACAGTAATACTACCAGCTATATAAATACATATATTTAGATCCTTAAATTAATATAGTAATTAATTTCTTTAGATAAGCGATTCCATATTATATTCCCTATTTAGCAGATTCTAAAAAGTATGAGGTTTTTTACTGCAATAATAAGCAAGTATTCATAGAAAAGGTTAAAACATGGAATGCAGAGGACGTTTCAGCAATTAAACGGAGGTCTGGAACACCCTGTCTCCAAAGTAGATGTTTAATAAATTTAAGTTTGTGAAAATAAATCACCCCAAACAAAATACAATTTTAAAATACAAGCACTTTGAAATTATTTGTTATTGTTAATAAATCACTTTTATGAGCGTGTTATGATATTTAGAAATACCAACAAATTCAATATAGTGTCGATAATATTTACTATTTTAGTTTTTCAAAGAAATGTTTATTTGTTAAAAGAAAACTCATGACGAGAGCTGGGTTCAAGCCCCCGACCTCCAGCATGCAAGGCACACGCCTAAGCCATGACACCAATGCACCACTTAACAACTTAAGCTGTAGCTGAAAAGGGCAGGCAAAAAGTTTCCAAGTAATTGCGGGTGAATCAGTCAAATAGATGCAGATGTTTACAAATAAAGTGTACCTCTGTGATAATTTCAGCTAAAGATGCAGCCATTCAAAATGCACGGAACGCATGTACCGCGCAAAATTATCCACAGTTCACTGTGTTGTACCGCAGTACGTGATTGGCTGGCTAAAATGACAGACGGACACTCATGGTGCATTGGTTGTTAGTGAAATGATATAATCATTTAATCTCTTTACTGTTCATGTTTTAATCCGCTTAATATTGAGTATTTATATGGAATTTTACAACTAAAGGGAAATTTTAGTAGCTGAGCATAAAAAAAGAGGAGCATAATGCGTCTGAAGGTCATACATGATATTAATTTAGGAACATACACATATTATGTAAACTGTATATGGCTGGTATTGGTAGTTTAAATAAAAAATACACACCAGTTTCCACTTTCTTCCTAAACATTTTAAGCATTGATGTCTTTCATTCGGTTACATACTGTGGTTATTTTGGAAAAGTTTTTATGTGCTCCTTCTGACTATAATAAATGTATATACTTCATTAAAAAGTTATAATGTTGTAACACTTCCAGTGAATATTTGTGCTTGTTATCACAGTAAAAAACGCATACTTTTTAGAATTAGATAGGGAATATACTATGGAATCGCATATCTAAAGAAATTAATAACGATATATAATTATAATTATATAGCTCAAATTAACACAGTAGTACCATATCTTTGTAAATGTCTGCATCAATTTAACTCATTCACCTGTGATTGTGTGTGGTGTAATGGCTTAGGCATGTGACTTGCATGCTGGAAGTCAAACCAAGCTGTCACCATGAGATTTCTTTTAACAAATCAACATTTCTTTGAAAAACTAAAATAGCAAATGTTATGGACACTATATTGACAACTTTGATATTTCTAAATATCGCAGCATGTTCGAAGCTAAGTGATTTATTAATAATGAATAATTTCAAACTGGTACTGTCCTGCCACTACAGTATAGCTTGTGGGAAATAAATTTGTCCTGCATCAAAGTTTGTCATTCAGAGCGCCCTACATTCCAAGCTCCAAACTTTTCATTTGGTCTATTGCTACAATATTGACAGCAATGTAGTTAAAAGGAACATGTCAAAATGTTTCCAAAATAACCACAAGTGAATGAGTTGAGAGATTTGATAATAGAGAAATCATAACAATGACCTTGTGTTGCTAATCATGCATACCCAACTGTACTGTAATCCACTTTATTTGTAATCACGTTTTATTTTTAATTTGACTCATTCACACATGATGAATTGTGAGAGAGTGATAGATGAAGACAAGATGGAGGTTGTTGTCAACACTAAATTCCTCAGAATGCTGTGGGGAATAATGTCAGTCACCTGACCAGCTGATGCACTGCATCAGAGAGAATGACTGAAGGATTAGCCCATTAAGAGCGAGTTTTTTCTAAAGAACCTGAAGGGAAGTAAAAATGCCGGCAGTCAATGTGGTTATGTATCAGGAATGTTTGAAAATGTTGCAATAATTCTACAGTATATGCTTTTGGGAAAACATTCGTTTTCGAGCAGGTAATTGCTCACTTCTGCTGCCATAGAGTGTTTTGGAATCTACATGCTCTCCCCGCATAGTTATCGACAATGAGAATGTCTCTGGAATAGGCATACTGTATAAATGATAAAGCGGAGGCTGTGGAGAAAAAATCGCAATGGAAAGCAACAGGTTTGATATGTACAGTAAATGTGACACCTGTGGTGCGTCGAGTGCATATCCTACAGTGTGAGAGCATTTGCAAGGCTATTAAAAAAGGTTGATTGAGTTAACAGTCTGGGTGTGGCGAGTTTCAACTGTTTCCTGCCAGTCTTGGGCGAAAGGAACCTGTCTTTCAATAGAAGGTTCGCCTATTCTACTAGTACATGAGAATATGGGGGGAAGGAAAAGTGCCTGTGGTAATTTTTTTCACTGACAGACTAAGTTGTGTTGTGTTAACACAAACTCTGCTTAACAGATCTGCTTGTAAGAGCAAGGTATCTTTCTGCTATCTAAACCATTTTTTACAGCTTTTAAAGTCTCGCAGTGTTTGACTTAGGCAGGAACATGTCATTGTATCTTATTTTTTATTTCATTTTTAAAAATTAATGTAAGGCAACCAGAAATCAAATGTCTTTGTGAGTCTTTGTGTAAGCTGTAAGTTCTTTTTACTTCTTATTTAAACATTTGAAACACTTTAATTTTGTAAATGCAACACGCATTCCGTACAGAAATAAAATGTTTAAAACATGTTTTCTACAGGTGTTAAGCAGATTAGCAGGTTGCTGACAAAATAGCGCACCATCCAGGCTGCAATTGAATTGGGGATCTGTATTCTTCACACCCTATGCATGCTTACACAGCTCACTAGGTGAATTCTTGTACTTACAAATTGTAAATATAATGTTTACATTGTGTTTTTTAAATTTTTCACTTAAGCATATGGAGGAGTGTCAGCTGTCAAGGAGAGCACCCCACCGACAGACTGACAAAGCAATTGGGAAGTGTTAACTATCCAGTCATTGCAAGCCACTGCTGCAGCCACAAATAAAAAATAAACTTTTTTTTCTCCTGATGGTAACTGTAACAAATTGTCACGTTTCACCTCCTTGCGAAACAATCATGACATGCAGGTGTGAAGTAGAGTTAACAGCTTCAGATTTAAAAGGTTAGTAATAATATATTCTGTGTTGCATTAACACAACGTGTCTCCTCTATAACTCCTCAGTTTACAGAGAAATTCCACCAGAGACTCACGCCATTGTCCAATAATAATCTTCTTGTGTCTAATTTTTTGTTAAGCAGGATTTGTGCGATAAGCACATTGTTTAATGGGGATGACATTACCCACGTCTATATCGCTGTACAACACAGGTTTGAGGCAGAGTGTCTGTTAATAAAACAGAGCGCCTTCCAATACATATAACTACTACATGATTTCTTTATCAGTTCCAGCTAAATGAGGGGAATTAAACAAGTCTGAATCTCGGAATGCCAATTGTAAAAATAACCCTTCTTCCCTCCTTTGTTTAACTTAAAGAATTTTGCGAAGAATTCCTTAATCACAATACCATCACTTAATTTACCCAAATACACAAATTCTTGCCAGAGCCAACAACAACCTATAATAGTGAACTATTTTTATGTATTCACTATATAAGAAACGAACTGAAAATAATACTCTGATCGCGCTTTGGACCATTGGGTGCAGTACATGTCCATTACCACTACAAGGACAGTTTTTTTAAAAGAAACGAATGTTAAAATGTTTCCAAAACGTCCACTTGTGATTCTTTAGCTGCTTAGTGACGCGATTCCGTATTCATATAACTATCAAGTGATGTTAAATCACTACATTTATCCTTTTATAATAACAGCAAGTGGTGTTCTTACTATGTATTCTTAGAAAAGGATAAAACATTATAACTTTTTATGAAGTACACAATATAAGCTTAATAATGTTAGAACAAGCACGTTAAAACCAGAACCCACTAAGTTACCAAGTTAAAGACTTTGATGAGTAAAATATTTATGAATAATTAAATGTATTTATGATGAAGGTGGAAGGTTGTGTCCTTTGTCCAACGGAGCAATCTTGCTTTTATAAAATATGCCGACTTTTTAACGTTTAATGATTTACATGCTATAATACACAGTTTACAATTATTAAAAGTCTAAAGAGTATACAACTTAAATTATTCACTGGAAAAAGATTGTCTCTCTGCAGTGACTGGGAATTGAAACCGGGCGTTTTCTGGAGACAGCTTAAATGCTGTACATGAGACGTTAAGCTTTAATAGCTTCCACCTAGCGGTTTTACAAGGTACTTCTGGATACTATTATCATAATTCGATTAAAATGCGGTATGATGTGCCACGCCTACATAATTTTAACACAGCGTACTCCGCGCATTTTGAATGGCTGGATCTGTATATGAATATAATTATATCATTATTTAGTTCTTTAGATCCATGATTCCATATTATAATCCCTATTAATCCAATTCTAAAAAGTATGCGTTTTTTACTGCAATAACGAGCGCAAGTATTCATAGAAAAGGTTAAAACATGAACTTTTTATGAAGTATATAAACTTAATATAGTCAGAAGGAGCACGTAAAAACCTTTCCAAAATAACCACAATATGCAACCGAATGAGACTTTGATGCCTATAATGTTTATAAAGAAAGTGGAATACTGGTGTGCATTTTTTATTTAAACTACCAATAACAGCCATATACAGTTTACATAATATGTTTATATTTCTAAATTAATATTGATTGACCTTAAGATACGTTATGCTCCAGTTCTTTTTATGTCCAGCTACTAAAATTTCCCTTTAGTTGTAAAATTCCAAATTAATATTCAATATTATGCAGATTTAAACGTGCGCAGTAAAGAGATTAAATTAAGCAATCGTTTCACTAACAGCCAATGCACCACAAGTGTCGGTCATTTTGGCCAGCCAATCACTTACTGCAGTGTAATGACCTAAACTGTAGATAATTTTGCGCATTGCAGGGTTTTACCTTGCATTTTGAATGGCTGCATCTGTAATTGAAGCATATTGGTTTAAATGCAAAGTGTATTGTGTAGTGCAAAAAATACAGCATAAGTTACTCAACAACCTTATTAGTAAAATGAGCATTATAAAGCAGTCTGTGGACAAAGTTATTTGGATTTTTTTTTATTTTGCTCTGTGACAGTAGTTTGTAACGAGTAATTTTATTTCTGCTTGTGAATGAACACTAATTTACCATTTCTTCCTATAGGAGTTTCCTTTAACAAATTGCAGTTTTTACCTTTAACAGAATGCAGTACAGTATAAGATACTACATGTTAATAATATTACATTTAATTTACTATGTTTGATTTTAGTCATGGGTGACATGATGGCACAATGGTTAGCATTGCTGCCTCACGGCCTGGGTTTAATTCCAAATCTGTTTCCAAATTCCAATATGCTTTGAGTTTGTATGTTCTTCCTGTCTTTGCGTCCGGATTTCTCCCACAGTCCTGCATCTGTTGCTTGCCAGGATAGGCTTCATCTCACCCATGACTTGAATTGGTTGATCGATTAGAAAACGGATGGATGGATTTCGGTCATGCATCTCAGCATTTTCTGTGCTGTAGATAAGATGTTTTGATTTGTGATTTTAAATTGCTTTTTAAGCTTTTTGTTTTTTCTGCTTTCACTGGTCTTGTCATAGCGCATTGATAAAACAACTTTTCTTTGCATATGTAAACTAATAGCAAATGAACAGTACAAACTGTTTGATAATTTATTTGTGTTGTGTGTTGGAATAATACTGCATGTAGTTTAACAATGATCATACACTGTGTCCTTCCCTATTTGCAACTTTACCAAAGTTTTAAGGTAATATGGACAATTCTTCTGATGGCCTAAAAATTAACATGTCTAATATTGGTTAGATTTTATACATTAACATTCTTACCGCCTGCAGTGTATTTATGGTTATTAAGATATTTCCAGATGCAGTTTTCATCACAATATACCATATTAAAAATGTATTCTATATAATCTTTATCTAAAGATGTAATCTTGACCATCTGCAAGACAAATTCAATACAAAGACCTCATGTGCAATACTTCGGGAGCTTATCTTATTGTGCTGCGCAAACTTTAAATTTTATATTAATATATTATCTACTATTTTAGTCTAATTAGAATTTCAAAAAAGTATATGGCAGCTTCTCTATAACCTTCTTATTTGATGAGGTTAGATGGTACTATGGTATATGGATGCCTGTGGTGATCTCTTAAAAATACAGCTAATAATAAATTGGTGTATTAGAATCCTTCAAGATATTTTGGAGTACACATCTTAACGAGTTTAAGGAGGACAGATGTGTTCAGTACCGGTTATATTGTAAAAGGAAATAAGAGACATTCTTCAGAATGTCCTTCTCAAAAGACTGGCGCTGAAAAGCCTGCATGATAGTACCTGTGGTATTTGCCATAGGTGGTCGTGTTGTAATTGTTTGCTTACTGGCTGAGCGTGCCTGTTGCTTGTTGGATTGCTTTGCTTGTAGTTACTAATACTTAGTTTTCCCTCTCTGTGGTGTGTGGTATTGGGGTTATATCATAGCTCTTCATACAGATACGGCTGCGGGGCTCCTGGTCCGTAGCATCCACCTGGTTACGCAGAGGCTGAACTCTCAGTGGAGACCCGATATGAGCATCTCACTTGCAGCGCTCGAGCTCCTGGCTGGTTTGGCTAAGGTAAGAAGAAAACACAGTGGTAAAATACAGTAAAACCTCAAGGTAAGCTGGTTCTATATTTGCGATTTTGCCTATTCGCATGAAATGTTTCATGACCACTTTTTGCTGCAGACCATATCCACAGGCTGCAAAGCAGGTGTGTAAAATGCAGGCACCCACTTCTTCCTCTTCTTCATTCTGAACATGCATCAGTCTCAGTAGTAAAGGATACAAGGTTAACAGTTTATGTTATAGTGCATCATGGGTTGTGCTTTGGTTATTAATTTTCCTTCAGGAAAGCATTAGATGTGCATGGTTTGTAGTACTGTTATCAAAGCAATGTGGGTGTTGTGCTGTGAAATAAAAAAGAAACACTAAAAAAATCCTTTGTGTCATAGTCCATGTCATAGTCTCAGTTTTCACATGGAAATTTATAAAAGACAAAATTAGATGAAAGAGAATTAGACAAACTGCAGGAGAGTGAGTGAAGGGAGTGGGTATATTTAATTTACTCATTACTGTGCTGTAATAAACTTTAGTTTCAGTACAGCAGTGCTTCATTTATAATAGTAATCAAAGCAAAATGTAAACAAAATTAAAAATGAGTTCACTAAAAATGAAAAAATCTAATACAACCTAATCTATATCATAACATTGAACTAATGTATTTGTATTCATTTCAAATAATTTGAATTACAGGGGGAATGATATTACTTTTCAAATCTTCATTTTCATAACTTATTTCAGAAATGTTTTAAAAGTTATAACAAAAAATATTACTACAGAAATGCTTGTTTCATGATTTGCAATACCATTCCCAATTTTCCCCATATGATTTTAAGACCCATATTTGCCATTTATATCCCAACCTTTGCAAATATCAAGATTTGACTGTAAATTCCCCATTATATGAATAAGTATTATATTTTGCTATACTTTTTCACTTTTGTGATCCTTAACCCCAGCTTTTAAGGGGACCCATTGTATTTTTCTTGTACTAGGGGAAGGTTTATCAATTCTTAATAATTTGAATACCTAGCAACAAAGTATCATGTATTACTTTATGGAAAATACTGTTTTAAAGCAAGTGTCGTTCTGTTACTCTTCAATACCTGTAATGTCTCTATAATACATAGAAATCTGTGTTGTTTATATTAAGCATTATTGCATGTCAGTTCTGCATTTATCAGAAATTAAATTTCTAGAACCTTGGCTCTGCTGACACTTATTTCTAATTTAAAGACTTAATGTTGTCCCTTCATTGTACTGAGCTGTTTATCAGTCATTCAGTAATATACAGTAATAATGTGCATTACAGCTAGTGATAGTTCAAAACATCATGCAAAAATGACTCGGGAATGTTCACAACCAGCTTGATTAACTTGCCTGGTTCTTTAAGAAGCACAGTTCATTTAAAATATTGATATCTTATTTTAATAAAAAGCTTTGTTCTTTTTAATGTGGCTCTGTCTTTGTCTGAGACACAGGTGAAAGCTGGTGTAGAGAGCTCGGACAAGAAGCGTGCCGTCAGCTCTGTATGCAGTTACATTGTGTACCAGTGCAGCCGCCCAGCCCCACTGCACTCCAGGGATCTCCACTCCATGATTGTGGCAGCATTCCAGTGCCTGTGTGTCTGGCTGACTGAGCATCCTGACATGCTGAACGAGAAGGCATGTGCACACTCCAGACTTTTTAGAAGTACATTTTAATATAAGTCATATACAGTGGCTATCAAAAGTATTCAGTCCCCCCCCCCCCCGGACTTTTTTGCATTTTATTGTATTACAATATGGAATCATCATAATGTATGTATTTGGGAGTTTTTGCTATTGATTGACAGAAAACATTTTTTAATGGCAAAGTGAAAACAAAATGCTGCAGATCATCCTAATAAATTATAAATATAAAATGGAAAATAACTGACTGCAATCTTATTTATCCACTTTGAGAAAATATTCGGTAGATCCACGTTTGGCAGAAAAAACAGTCTTGAATAAGTTTCTACCAGCTTTGCACATTTAGATGCCTTTCTTGTTTGCTAAGTTGCTCAAACAGCAATTTTCAACTACTACCACAGATTCTCGATTGGATTGAGGTAGCTCTGTGAACTTGTCTCCCCTACAAATAGCACTAATGATGAAACACACTGCATTCGTTTATTGCTGCTTTTGTGCTGTTGAAAGTAACATTCATGCCGCTTTCGTTACCAAGGCATAGCACCTTATTTTTCTGAGCCATGGCGTCACTCAGCCCCCCTACAAAGGCGCAGGAGAACTGAACCAATCTTATTCGTTAGTGCTGCTTTTGTGCATGTTTTTGCCATTGAAAGTAGCGTTTGTACTTTTTTCCTTCCTGAGATATAGTGCCTTCTTTTTCAGGGTGTTACGTCACTCAGCCCTCCTACAACTATGCAGGAGAACCTAACTGGTCTCATTTGTTTGTGTTTGTGCCATTAAAAGTAGCTTCCCAGCCTCTTTCCTTCCTGAGATATAGTGCTTTCGTTTTCCGGCTGCTGTTTTCACCTTGAAAAGTGAACATTAACAAATATTAGCATTTTTTTAAAACAGGCTTTAACTATCAAATCTGTAGAGGTAATCAGTTACTCATTGTGTACTTTTTACATGAAAAGTCAGTTCAAATGTTGATGACAGATTCAACCCTTCTTTTGAGCCATTAATTTAAAAAGGTTAGAACTAGTACTTAGTACTTATTTTTTAGGGGCACTATTTACTAAATTAATCTAGGTAGTTCATAACACATCTGAAAAACAGCATGGAATCTCTACCATTTCATACATACAGACCTTGGTAATATTTGAAAATAGTACCAACAGTACCATTACACAAGATGTAATGCAATAGAGATGGGTCATACAGTTGCATTTCTACCAGAGTGAGCTCCATGAAGTTGGCCCTGCTGATGTATCAAAGTTTCCCTACAACCATGCTTAACAGTAGGGATGGTATTCTCAGGATGATGTTCACTGTTACTCTTGCGCCAAACATAGCACTTACCGTTGAAGCCAAAAGGGTTAATTTTGGTTTCGTCAGACCATACAGTCTTCTTCTGTTTGGTCTTAGATTCTCCCACATATCTTCTGGAAAAGTGTAGTGGAGTTTTGATGTGAGTTTTTTGTCACTGTTCCATAAAGCCCAAATTTGTGAAGTACTTAAGCAAGTGTCAATTATCATTTACACAGTTTCTCCCATCTCAGAAATGGAAGTCTGCTTTTCCTTTACAGTTGTCCCAGGCCTCTTGGTGGACTCCCTGACTAGTACACTTCTTGCTTGGATACTCAGTTTTTCAAGACACCCAGAGAGATATTTATTCTCAACTCATGTGAAACACCATAATTGCACACAAGTGGACTCCATTTAACAGTTTGTGACTTCTAGAGACATTTGGCTGCACCAGAGCCTGTTTGTGTGTTATAGTAAAGGGGATGAATGCTAATGCAATCACTTATTTTCTGTTTTATATTTATAATTAATTTAGGAGGACCTACAGAATTTGTTTTACTTTGACATTATAGAGTGTTTTTATGCCGATCAATGGCAGAAAATCCAATTGAGCCTATTTCCTATATTCTGTATTGTAATATGTAAAATGTGAAAAGGTCTAAGTTAATACTTTTCATAGCTAACGTAAGCCAAGAACACACTGCATTTCAGTTACCTTTTGGCTTTATTTGGAAAAATAATGTAAGTTACTCCGTATTGTATTTTATGCCATTCTGTCTTGTCTAGTTGTCTCAGTGAGTTATCTATGTGTTTGTGACGGTGTTTTTTACATTGTTGTGTTCTCAGGATTGTTTAATAGAAGTGCTGGAGATTGTAGAGCTGGGGATATCAGGAAGCAAGTCAAAGACCAGTGACCAGGAGGTGAGGTACAAGGGAGACAAAGAACACAACCCTGCCTCCATGAGGGTAAAGGATGCAGCTGAAGCAACCCTTTCATGGTGAGCTAACATCTGGAAGTCACTTTGTGTTTCATATATATACAATGCCAAAGCAGACGTTTGTGAACCCCCAGTATTATGGGAGTTTTAATTTCATACCATAAAACCCTTTTTACTCAAAACTGGTCTATTCTTAAATAACTAAAAGGGTTTATATTTACCAATTCTGTGCTTTTGAGACAATGTTGTGTAAAGCTGAAAATGAATAAGAATTAGTATATGTGAAAAAATACATGAATGAATACCATGAAGTTTATTTGAATAATTGGGGATAATTAGAATCAGATGTTTAAATAATTTGTTAAGGTTAAATTTGGTTAAAATGTAGGCAGCCCTGTGAGTTGTTGGTTTTGTCTTTACCATATTAGTTCATGTAAACATGCTACAAGGTTTCGTAGGTCCTTAATTCATGCAAGTGAACTCTTAGATGTCATGACTTAAGAGCTTTGTAAGAAAGCATGGTCCAATATTCCTGAAAGCAGATCCAAGAGACAGCTAAACAGTTACAGGAAATGTTGCTGTACCAATTACTGATTTTAAGGATTCATACTTATTTACGAGGATATTTATTGTTGGATTTTTTAATTCAAAATATATGTCTTTCTATCATATGTTTTATCATGTTATCTTAATCTGTTATTAAGGTATAATTGTTATACATCTAAAACATATGAGAATATGGGACAACAAAGGAGGTCCAGAAACTTGTTCTCTGCACTGTACAGGCATTACACAGATAAAATTGATGTTGAATGTGTAATTTCATCATTTGGATTAGAAATAACCACTTTCATTACTTTTTCTTTAGGTACCTGCATAATTATTGCCTGCTTATAGATGTCTGTTTTTAAGGTGTATTTTTGTCATCTACAAGGCTCCCCATTACTTTGTTTCCTGTTGTCTTTATAAGCTTATTTTTCTGTTTGTTGTTGTGTTGCTGTTCTGTGAAAGCATCATGCAGGTGCTTGGAGCCTTCCCTTCTCCCAGTGGGCCTTCCTCTCCGTGCAGCTTACTAAATGAAGACACACTGATAAAGTATTCCAGACTGTCCTCCACAACCAGACATAACTTCCGGTATTTTGTCCTGGATAACTCAGTCATATTAGCCATGCTGGAGCAACCCCTTGGGAATGAACAGAGTGAGTGTGCCTGCTTGGGCAAAAAACAGCTAGGCTTGGAGCACTCCTCATTTAAAGGGGAAATTGTATTAAAAGGGAGAAGCATTGTATTAAAAGGACCAAAAAAAGGGATTTTGGAGTGGCAAAGATGCTCACCTGGAGTGTAATCTGATCCCTATAGTTGGACAGTGAATCTTCTACCATTCACAATACGACTAAAACAAGGATTCCCAGTTTAGTGGCACAAAAAATGGAATAAAATGCTTGTGGTGGACAAGCTGTTTTCTTTTTGACATGCAACAGTGGTACTTGTGACCTATACTTGTAAACACATACTTTCTTATAAGCCTTAAAACAATTGATAACCTTGACATATGCTCTTAAACATACATAAGCATACATATGCAGTAAAATATACATAATCACCTAGCTCATGCTACTCATAGCAGGAATATCATTTCTTTTTGGAGAAACAAATGTAATTACATAAATTCTAATCACAGTATTACCAGGACAGACAGTCCTGTGTGTGTTTAAAAAGCATTAGGTAATGATATTGCTGTGTGCATAAGGGCTGAATACTTGTAAGTGCACATTAAATCTCATTTAATAGGGTTAACTTTTAATTTTAGTCATTTGATGTTCCTGATTTATAGTTTACTGGTAAGCTAGGGTTTCATAGTCAATTGCTGCACTATGCTCCTTAGCAGATCCCTGCCCATCAGTGACAGTGTTGATACGAGGGATGTCGGGGAGACATGCCTGGACAATGCAGCTGTACCACCAGCCCAGAGGAGGAAGGGCAAACCAAAAGGTAGGTGATTGGCTCTGCACTGTCAGTTATTGGGCCACTATGCTGATTAAGCTCAGTCCTTCAATGTTGAAGGGAAAGACTTTGAAAGTGGGTACTTTTATATTACCATCATGTGGGTGTTTAGGAATAGTATTGCATATAAATTAAAATGTGCACAAGGATTTCTACAGATGTCACTACAGTTATTTTTGACTTCATATATATGTGGGTTATTGGCAGTTCTATTTAAGAATGTCCCTAGATTAAATATGGGATTCTTTCCAGTCAATGGATTCTCTTTGTGTAGGTGTTTGTTCCAGAGAGTCGTCCAACCCCCAAAAATGATGTTGGTGTAAAGTTTAACGTTAAACACAGACCATTCCCTGAAGAGGTAGACAAGATTCCGTTTGTGAAAGCTGACCTAAGCATTCCAGATCTGCATGAGATTGTGAATAAGGAGGTAAGAGGAAGAGTCACTTTTCCACATCAATAAACCTAGGATTTCACTCACCAGAATACTTTTTGAATGTAAGTCCAAAACCTTACTGTTACAGCCGATAGATTGTAGAGGATTACAAATACATAGGACTGTAAACACATACTTCATAGTACTATAAGCCTCTCTATTATTTTTTCAGCTGATTTAGACTTTTCAAAGGATACTTCTTTTCTTATTACTGTTCTTATTACTTTCTTCTAAAAATATCAATGTTTCTTAGTAATGCCGCTAATGTAACATTGCAGATTTATTTGCGGAGGTTCAATTCAATCCATTTCAATTCGGAGGTCCTGTAAAGCTGTTAACTATACAGATTGGATGTAGAACAAAACACTTAAGATTTAAAAGGAACCTTTTAGTGCAGACTCTTTGCATAGTCAAAACATAAATGAGTTAACAGAATTTTCAGGTAAATAAACAGATATTGCTATAAGTGTATATAGACCAGATTGTCTTTTGGCTGACAGGCTGAACAATTCATGACAAGTACGACAACAATGAAGTACAGTGATCCTGAAGTGAGTTGTGGATAATCTGTCAGTGAGATGAGGGGTTAAGATTCACAGGACTGTTTTCTGCTGCTTCTCAAGCAACATAACTTTTGCTCTTTAATTTTAATTTTGTACATATCGTGACTTCCCAAAGCAAAACAAAATGGCTCGCAAATTACTTTCATTTCCCTTTTTAATAAGTTTGTTAGTCCATCAGAGCTCTTTTCATTGTCTGTCCTTTATCCAAAATTCACTCTTGTTTGCAGAGGCCTTTGCCAGGAATATCTCGGAAGTGCTGCGCTTCAAGTTCATTGCAGGCCTTACTATTATGAAGGAGCAGTTTTTTGTATTTTAATTAAATAAGAACATGGTCCCCGATAAAATAAACATATCTCAATGCATGATAATCAAGTTGGGTTGTTGCAATCAATTCAAAGACATGGGTCTCCATCTTTTTGGGGAGTTTGGGTGATTTGTGTGCAGGATATCTTTCCTTCTGGTGGCAGTCACACATCTCTTACCTTGTTAGGTAGAAGAGGAATCTATTTTTTAATTAATTTTAAATAATCTTTTTGCCTTCAGCTAGAAATGCAGCATGATAAACTGCGTAATGTGATGGTGAAACAAATGGAGTACGAGACGGCTGTGGAGCGGCAAAGCGAAGACCGCTGGAGAAATAAGACCTTTCCTGACCCCCTCATAGACTGCAAACCCCCTGCTCCCTCGCAGGAGTTTCAAACTGCCCGCCTCTTCCTGTCACATTTCGGTTTCCTCTCGCTGGAAGCACTGAAGGTACAGAAGACATGGGGGGAGGTGCTGGCTTTTCATGGAAAAGTGTCTCAAATCTTGTAGCTGTCATGAAGCTACATGAGCATTTCTGACTCAAAATGTCATGTTTTAAGTAGAGAATCAGAAAAGGCTACAACAATATGTGCAAGTTTGCATACTTTTCATGTTTATATTTTTACTGTGCATAAATAAATGATAAAGCACCTAGTTCTAAAATGTAATTGTTGTGTGGCCAGAGCTTGTAGATATTGTCCATTCAAAGTAAACTAGAAACAGTATTTTTTTAATATTTATTTGTAATGTTAAATATCTCCATCTCAAATTATTAAATAATAGTGCAAATTACTTAGTTCTCATGTTTTGGTATGTTTATTGTACAATTGTTTTCAAAATATAAATGATTCTTAGCTAAAACAGGGACAATGAAAATGTCCCCTGTCATTCTCCAGGACCCTGGCAACAGCCGATTACCACCTCACCTTATTGCACTGGACTCTGCCCTGCCAGGATTCTTTGATGACATTGGGTACCTGGACTTGCTGCCCTGCCGCCCCTTTGACACTGTTTTTGTATTTTACATGAAGGCAGGACAAAAGAGCAGCCACGAGGTGAGAAAGGTCCTGTGTTACAAAACTCAGTATAGCTTTTTCCATTCCATATGGAAAGTTAGATACCTACTATTCAAAAAGGAATTAAAAATCACCTTCGATTTTTAAGATAAAACCTGTTTAAGTACTGACAGTGACTGAAGTGCTGTGTTCTGTATGATTTTATTATATTGCTGCCGTGTTAAGTCAACAACAAAGAAAAAAGGAAGTTGTAGTTGTATTGAGATGTCATGGTTAGGGACATGCTGTAAATGAGCTCAGTCTGTTCTGTTAAAACATTAACCATTCTTTTCGGCTATGCTTCAGATCCTGAGAAATGTTGACTCATCAGCAAATGTCCAATGCCACTTTCTGGAGTTCTTACTGTCTCTGGGCTGGCCTGTGGATGTGGGGAAACACCCTGGCTGGACTGGTAATGTGTACACTAGCTGGTCATTAAACACCGGTAATGGCAGCGAAAGACAGAACCAAGGTGAGAGTCATAGTCACTGCTAGTTTTTAGTCTTAAAAACCATGGTTTCAAATAAAGTGGGTCACATTAAATTAGGTTGAACCTCATTTTACTGGTCAGTTGTTCTTCTCCATAATACAAAGAAGTTCAAAGCCACCCTCTGTTCTTTAATTATAATAATAATCATCATCATCAGTCATTATGCTTATAATAATTGCTTACACTTATATAGCGCTTTTCTGGACTCCACTCAAAGCGCTTTACAGGTTATGGGCACTCCCCTCTGCCACCACCCCACCTGAATGATTTAGTGGCAGCTATACATCAGTTCTCAGTGGTGTGGGGAAAATGAAACCAGGTCATAGTTGGGGATTATTAGGTGGCCATTTAATATCTATCAGACAATAGTCCTGAAAGGCTTGAAGTGACATTGAGCTCCGGGGTCATGTCACTTGCCAGTTGACAGGGATTTCTCAAGCAACAGTGCAGAATTGGCAGAGCACCACCGTTATTTTACCAGCGCTCTGTTTTCCTGGACCACTGCAGACTTGCATTTCTGCTTGCATTTCTGTTGGTGAGGGGTACATTTCCCCCCCATCTGGTAGCTGAAACTCCAGTATGGTGCTGCTTTATCTGTATTTGGTGACTTGAACGTGAGCAGGTCAGAGGAGTCTGCATTCATTGTTCTCATTCTCCCCTATTTGTGTTCACAGGGTTTTTAGCCATAAGGTAAAACATGAAAAACACAATTGGCTATTCCAAAGTATATTAATTCAACAAGATATTGTTTGTGATGTTAATGGCCTTATGCATAGAAAGCTTAACACCTGAAACATAATTTGTTCTATGTTTCAACATGGCATTAGCCTTGGCTTCTTTTTTTGTTGCTGAAGCCGCTTCCCACTTGAACAATGATGGTGATTCTAAATTTGTATAAAGAATCAAAGGTGCTGACAGTGAAGTGCAGTTTATGGCAGCCCTTACATGCTTTTTTCCTCTACAGAAGAGGCAGTCACTTTAGAGGATACTGCTGGAGGTGTTTTCAATGGAGAGAAGAAAGTGCTTTACTACGCGGATGCTCTCACTGAAATAGCCTTTGTGGTTCCATCATTAATGGACTCTTCCGGTGAGGATTCGGGGTTGGATTTGTTTTAGTGCATTACAATTTAGTATTAAAAATGTTTCAAGAATGTCCATATTTCTGACTGTATTTAACATCCCTTTTTAAAAACAAAATCCATATAATCCAGTTTATTATTTAAAAATAATGATTTCTTAACCATTGCAACTATAAATTCAAAATTCCATATAAAATGTTTATTCTGAACCAGTACCATTCATAATAAGTAAAAGATTATGTATATGCAAAGTGCCAATATTTATTTTAATAACATTGTTTTTTGTTGTTTTTGTATTTTGGATACAAAACAGCTTAAAATTTAATGTGTATACATTTAACTGATCTATTTTAGCTTTTAATGGAGTTCTCTGTTTTCACTCTGATCAAGTAAAATAGCATTCAAAATAATCAAAATTGATGATCTTGTCTTTTCAGCTGATTCGTCAGAGAACAGCTTCCCTTCAATGGAATCAGATTCCCAGATGGATCTACTGCCAAGTTTACTGAAACAGTCCAGTCTCACACTGGAGCTCTTCCCAAACCACTCGGAAAACCTCAGCTCAAGTCAGAGGGTAAGTGCTCTGAAGAGGATTTTCTCTGTAGTCTTGAGCCAATACAGGTTTCTGACACTTCATAAATGTAGAAATATTTCCTATTTTCAAAAGCTTAGTAAAGTCTTGTCTTCATACAATATACAAAGATAATTTGTAGAGGAACTTTTCAGTTGTTTTAGTGATTTATGTACTTATTGAGTGGTCACCACTGTAATCGCTTGTCCGTTTACAATAAATGTAGTTTAATTGTGTCAGTGCTAATAGGGTTTATATTCTTTTCATTGATTATAAAAATACTTGTGCTTAGTATCACCAGAAATCCCATAATTCATGCTTAAGGCAGGGTTTTATAAAATGTATTTAAGTATGCAAAGTGAAAAGTACGTAATTTAAAATATCTGATCTAACTCCCCAAAGAAGTCCAAAAATGTTGCTCCCTGCAGAAGAAAAATCCAGTGCAGTGATGTTGTCTTATTGGTGTTAGAAGCTGTTTTGAAAATACTGTATGTTTGCATTAGCTGAGTCCCACAGTGAAATCCAAGAAGATGCCTCCAGGACGGACAGTGCCCCCACTGGGCCCAGAAACCAAAGTGTTTGTTGTCTGGGTGGAGCGCTATGATGACATTGGTAAAATTAAGTTTTTTTTTACTTATTTCTTATCCAGAGATCCAGAGTGAATACAAGCTTGGCTAAATATTCAGATACTCTAGAATCTTTAATAGATGTTAAGTATATGGAATATTTGATAGCTTCCTTCATTGTATATTTACAATGAAACTGAATGCTTTTAGGAACTCAAATGTTTGTTCTGCAAATCATGCAAAGGTAACTTATTTCATTTTCTATTTCTTACTCATTACTCATTCACTCCTTTGGTTATTGTGATCAGTTTTCTGTACCCTGTCATGCAGAGTCTGTTTTTTTTTCCAGAAAACTTCCCTCTTTCAGACCTCTTGGCAGATACAAGCACTGGAGTGGAGGCAACAATGAACAGCAGCACTTCACTCAGGTATCCCATTCCCTTTGGAGACTTGGAAAAAGTGAACCAAATGGGTCTACTGTTCCCTGAACTGCAATAGTATACACAGGAGGGTGTTTCATTGCCTCAGTGCATTACCATTGAGAACCACTGTTGAAGTGCAGGTCTTTTGATGGCTAACACACTCTTTTCATCCCTCTTCTCTGTCTTTCTTTGTAGGCCAACCATGTCAGAAAAAGATGTCCCTGTTATTTTTATTCACCCTTTGAAGACTGGCCTGTTTCGGATTAAGCTACATGGAGCTGTGGGAAAGTTCAGCATGGTTATTCCTCTGGTGGATGGCATGGTCATTAGCAGGAGAGCTTTGGGTGAGAGCATCAGGAGTTGGAAATGCTGGACCAATATACAGAACAAATTACCTTACTGACTTCTTTTAAAGGGGAATTGCAGTCCCAATTTTCAGACCGTTATAACTCGATAACAAAATAAGTATCGCAAAATTGTGAATGAAGTATGAAACCATGAATTTTGAGAAACTACTGTATGGTCACCATGTTGCCACAGGCCCAGGCGAAAGTGAGAGTTTGCGAATTGTGACATGAAAGTGTCCCTTTTTGCTCACTAGTCACTGTAAGCAAATGAGAAATATAGTCTCATAACAACATTAATCCTTTGACTTTTTGAACTTGCATTGATAATTTTAAATGATGCCTCACTGTTGAGCATTTTTCTGTTCAGAACGTAGTGGTCGCACACAAAACAGAGAATCAGCAGAAATTTGAACTGTTTCCATGAGAGATGGGTAATAAACACAGGCACTGATGTTGGTCCCATTGACAAATGATCTTCTTGATGAGATTCAGTGGTGATGTACGATCAAATAAGTACGGGTTAAGCAACAGACATTTCTCCTTAGAAATATTCAAAAATGATCTGTATGCTGAATTAATATATAAGTAGTATTTGTCAGCAAAACCATTTTGGGAGTCAATATGCTGAATTCAAATCAGCACTTATTGCCAATAATTCATTATAATCCCGAAAGTTTCTTTTTCTCTGGAAACTGAAGCTAATATTAATTAAAATTTACACTAGCATGAAAAAAATAACCTGTTTCTATACATTTATTTGTTCTGGCTTTTTTTCAGGATTTTTGGTCCGACAGACCGTGATTAATGTTTGCCGAAGGAAGAGGCTGGAGAGCGATTCTTACAATCCACCCCATGTACGGAGAAAACAGAAAATAGCTGAGATTGTCAATAAATATCGCAACAAGCAACTTGAGCCCGAGTTCTACACCTCACTGTTCCAGGAGGTGGGGTTAAAAAATCTGAATCCATGACACGGACAAAATGGACAGCTCAGTTTCTTTCTAGATTTTTAAACTCTTAATTTTATCACTACTTGGTGGTTGTGCGTTTTGAATGCAGAGATAAACAATGTGTTCCATAGGAAAAAAAGGCACACCATCACGGCCATGCCAGCCAACTTAATGTCCTGGTCCCGGGATCTTAATCCTAACCAGATCCCTACACGGAGGACCTTCAATCTGTAATCGTCACAGTACTCGATAGGGTGAGAATTAACAGCTTGATAGCTTCATTTGAACACAGAAAACATCAACAAACAATAGTAAAAATAAAAATTGGACAATGTTGCAGGGTTTTGTTAGTCAAATAGTGCAATTCCACACAACCTTTCAAGTGGCCTTTTAGGACCAAATCATTTGTACAGAAGTCAAGCATTGTCACTTTTCCCAAAGAATCCAGTTCAGTCCTGCTGTTGGTCATCTTATCTTATTGTTATTCATGGAGCAGTTCCTGCATAGGTCTGTCCTTTGCTTGACATTCTTGATTACTGTAATTTTGTCTGTTTTGTCATTTTTGTTTGTCTAGCATAAATGGAACAACATGTAAACACATTCAGAGTGTCCCTGTAAATATAAAAAGGGCCTTGACCATTCACAATTACTAATATACATCTAATGGTACAGTGTTAATGTTTTCTTCCTCTTACAAGGTCATGAGATGAGACACCACACCAAGTCATCTTTAGGACTTTATTTTTTTTAACACAATGTGACCTTCTAGTCATTAATGTGTCCTATTTTTAAAAATGGTTTCAGACAGATGGAATTTTTCTTCAGCTCTGTTGATTTTCTCAGGTTGTTTATCTGAAATAATTTCCAGCCTTATATGGTATTCAGTGCACATTTTAAAAAAGGAAACCTGCCTTTCAAGGATCCTATTCCATTTTAGTTGAAAAATGTGTACTGAAAAAACCAAACACCAAATAAGTCAGAAGGTGTGAACTCATTGCACAGAGCTGCAAAGGCCAGGTATTCCCTTGTCTTGATCTGATTTCCCAGTTAAGATAAAAAAATACCTTTTCTGACCGATAAAAATACTTATTTATTTCTGGAATTATGGATCTCCTATCTTACCCAGTGATATTCAATAATCACGTTGCTTACCAAGGAGCAGAACAGACACATTATTTTGTTCAGGAACTGTCAGACTATGACACTGTATCATTTTTATTATTCACAGTCGTTGACAGTTGTTTGTCGATTAGTACTAACAAAGTGGACAGCATTTCAATGCAAGCAACCCAAGTCTTCCTTCTTCCTTCTTATGTCTGCTCAGATCCTGAGTAAGAAGAGTAGCAATATTTTTTTTGATGTGGGAATGCTCCTTCCATAGTTTAGGAACAGTTAAAATCAGGTAATGCATCACCCCTCAGTACCTGTTTCAGGCCGTCAAGACCATGTTTTGCTTTTTTATTTTTTTCATTGACCAATTTGATCTTTCCTTTAATACTGTTACCTATGAGCTTTGAAACCCCCCTGTTTTGAGCTTAGATGATCCTAATAGTCCATTTCACCACAGAAACATCCCTTCCTGATTATGCTGTTTGTCACTCGTATCTTTTGTTAACATAGCCACGGTGTTCTGTTGTTGTTTTTAATGTGTTAAGATTGAAACAGCTTTTAAATCTTTTCACTTAGGGTCTGCACGTTGCATATGCTTTAACAACAGTTACATTTGTAGACGTGTTAACAGACATTGTTCACATTGATTCAGAACATATATGAATGATGTTGCTGGTGCTTTAAAAAATGTGATCACTTTAATATATCTATGAACTGCATTTTGTTCAGTTTTAAATTATTAAATTTAACTGCTTTTTTGCAAGTGTATTGAGAAACTTCTTTTTATCCTGTTACCACTGGCACTTCAACTTGATTATGTACTTAAAAGACAAAAGCAGTTCACTTATAGCATCCTACAAGGTTAAATGATGAATGATGTAGTGTATATTTACAGAACCATTCATGCAAAGTGTCAGGAAGAAAACCTGTGCTTTTCATACTTCATGAGCTATTCAGACAAAGGGCCTGAGTGAAGTGAAGTATTTAAATTTTGTCATGTGGATTTATAATCCGGAATTATAATTACAAAGGATTTATAAAATATTCAAGGGCTTAAATCGTATTTGGATAAATATTTTGTGGAGCTGTCACCAACATGACCATCAGTAGCACTGCCTTTACCATGCTGGAATCCCTCTCCTGAACCTGTTCTGTTGGTTATGTCTGTATGACCCCCCAGTGGATTTTATGTCAACATTGTCAAGTCTTTCTCTTGTGTGTTCCAAATATGCTGTGTTATACCTAGAAAGCAGAAAGTGTTCTTGGTGTTCCTACCCAGATTCCACCTAATGTTCTTAAAAAGAGAAGTTAGAACATTGAGATTCAATTATTGTTCACAATTTTGGAGCTTTTGGCCATTGTGAGGGTGTGGAGCTGGTATTTCCATTATGCAAAAGCTTTCTCTGACTGGAAGTATACAGTTGAAGTTTTTATACTGTTTTAAGGTGGTTTCAAATTGCTGGATAAGTCAAACACTAAATCTAGTTAAAGGCAATTATATTCAGTAAGGTTTTCTATGCTTAGTGAGAGTAAAATGTGAAACTTTAGACTGTTGAATTATCTTCTGAAGAAACAAAAGTATATTTGAAACGGAATGTGTTCCACTTTGGTCATGCACATATGGCTTTAGACTGAGCTATAATATTAAAGTTGTCATGTGTGTCAGAAAATATCATGTACAATCTTAATCTCAGCATATTGCATAAACGTAGTTTTTTTCTGTTATGTTCCTATAAAAATAATTCATATGTTCTCTGTAAATATTGCAGGCTTTAACTTGAGATGTATAGAAATGGAGGACTATCTGTAAATATAAAGATGTGAAGTATATTTCATTTGTCTGTATCTCTTTATTCATTAGGAAAGGCACAAAAAAGCTTGTTTGTATTTATGCCAATTATATATGTGCCCAAATGAAACACATTGGATATTGAATGTAACACATGTATTGAATAAAATTTTAAAGAACTTCTTGTCATACAGAATGGCATTGTGGATTTTGTCTTTCTACACCAACACTAAACCCCTATTTCTGATGTTTTTATTGTATTTGAACTCTTGGTTATTACTGAAGTAATAACGTTTCTGATTTTATTGTTTTTGTCTCAGTTAAAATTAGCACAAAATTGTACAAGTCAGTTTGTGACCCAGTCGTCGCTAGTTTGAGCTCTATCATCCAATTGTGATCTGTGTTCCCCAGGAAACTACACAGTTGGCTGCACAGCTCTGGTGTGGCAGGGGTGTTCTTAGTTTTCTGCATGACCATTTACCTGTTTGTACCTGTGAGTTTGCAGTACAGTCAGTAAAAGCTTTATTGCATAATAAATGATTATTTCTTTAGGGGTTTTACAATGCAAATGGGGAAAAATGATTATATAGTTCTATATTGTAGGATTTGCAACATAGACAACCTAAGGTTTTAGAAAAAAGTAATCTAGATAGATACTTTATTGATCCCTTGAGGGAAATTGCAGTGCAACAGCAGCTTAAGACAGACAGTGTAATCAATGATAAAATAATATTACAATACAATCAGTACAGTGAGAAGTGCACTAAGATGCGTTGCTCACAGTCCAGAACACACAAAGAACAGAACAAACCAGAACAGTACACAAAAAAGTCATATTGCACAATATGACTATAAATATAAATGTATTCCACAGGTCCTTGGCATATTTTGCACAAAAACAGTTTTAAAAGGGAAAAGAAAAAGAACAGATGTATCAGTTTACTGTTCAGTCCAGAAACAGGTCACTGTCAATGTTGCCTCTGCGCAAAAACAAGGTGGATGAGTTGTACAGTCTTGTGGCAGAAGGCAAGAATGACCTCCTGGAGTGCTCCCTGTTGCACCGTGGATAGACTGAATCAGTCTATTGCTGAACGTACTCTTCATTTCTACAAGCATGTCATAGAGGGGATGGGAAACGTTGTCCATGATGGCCTCTAGTTTGGACACCATTCTCCTCTCAGCCACTACCTCCAGGGGGTC